CAGGTACAGACAAGAAGGTAAAGGCAATTGAGCCTTCAAATTCTTGGAATTGTCTCAAGTCCTTGGATTGTGAGAATGACCTGAGTCCTGACTGTTCTTGTTATTGAAGTATTTTTTTCAGCAGCAGCAAAGTTTTCAGACAATCTTGAGTTCTGGGTGAATGCCTGCTATTTCAAGTTGCTTTTATCACCAGGCACTCTCTTTGTGTTAAGTGAGACAGTATATTCCAGTGCTTGCCTACAAATCCACTTTATCTTGTCTTTGTCCTGCTGCTCAGAAGTGATTGTTGAGATTTGGTTCAGTGTGTACACTGAGGGAAAGTCCTGTGCTTTCCAGACTGGTTGTACTTCCAATAGTCTTTGTCCTTATCCACACAGGTAGCAAACACATAACTACTTTTTCTTATTTTTTCATGGAATGTGGGTGTTGCTGGCTGGATCAGCATTTATTGCCCATCCCTAGGTTTCTGACAAGGTGGTGATGTAGTCCATTTAGTGTAAGTACCCCACTAAACTGTTAGGGAGGGAATTCCAGAGTTTTGACCCAGTGACATGAGTATCAGTGTATCAGGCTTGCTTGTGGCTTGTCTGATGGATAGGATCAGTATCTGTGGCTTCCTTGTTTTCTGTGTCAGTTAGATTTCTCTCACTCCATGCACTATTGATCGCCTGACTCTATTCTGAACCAATCTATGAGACATGCACAAATTCTGGAGCAAATTCTCCCGAAACTGCTCCCCTAAAGTTTCAGAACATCTCCAACTTACATTCAAACTCAATGAGAAAGAATAGAAACAGAGACAACTGTCTCCGTGTCCATTCAGGCTTGACCCTAAGATCTTCAAAGAAGTGGCTCATGAGGTAATAAATGTGTTGGTGTTAATTTTCCAAAATTCATTAAGCTCTGGAGTGGTTCCATTAGAACAGAAACAGTGAAATTAACCCCTCTGGAGATGAGGTAGAAATTGGGAAATTATAGGTCATTTAGCTTGATGTCTGCAATGGGGTAAGTGTTAGAATTGTGCATTAAGGAAGTTATAATGGTGCACTTAGAAAAGCTCAAAGTAATTAGGAAGAATCAGCATGATGTTGTGAAAGGGAAATCCTGTTTAACTGATTTTTTGCAAATCTTTGATGGAATAACATGTACTGTGAATAAAGGCAGTGCATTTATGTACTATATTTGGATTTCTAGATGGCATTTAACATGATTCCACAAAAAAAAAGGTTATTGTATAAAGTAGAAACTGATGGTTTGGGGGTAACATAATAAACATGGACAGAAGATTGGTTGGCTAGCTGAAAACAGAAAGTATGCATAAATAAACCTTTTTCAGGCAGGATGTGATGGGTGGAGTCCTCAGGAATCTGTGCTCAACCCTTTTTTTTTACAACTTATATCAATGACTTAATAAAGGTGCCAAGGGATCATATAGTGTATCACTGCATAAGACACAAAAGGTTGGCATGCAGGTACAGCACATAATCAGGAAGGCAAATGGGAAGCCTGCCTTTTTTATGAAAAGAATTCAGCATAAAAGTGAGGATGTTATGCCTCAGTTATACAAGACATTGAGACCACGTCTCAAAGATTATGCTGCTATGGACTCCTGATTTAAGGAAGGATGTAAGTGTATTGGAGGTGGTTCAGAGGAGATTTACTAGATTGATACCTGAAATAGGTGGTTTGGCTTATGAGGGAATGAGGATGTTGGCTTATGGGTGGCAAGGTGGCTCAGTGGTAAACGCTGCTACCTCACAGTGCTAGGGACCCGGGTTTGATTCCATCCTCAGGTGACTGTCTGTCTGTGTGGAGTTTGCACATTCTCCCCATGTCTGCGTGGGTTTCCTCCCACAGTCCAAAGGTATGCAGGCTAGGTTGATCAGCCAAGGCAAATGCAGGTGTAGAGGGATGGTGTGGGTCTGGGTGGGTTGCTGTTGGAGGGTCAGTGTGGATTTGGTGGGCTGAATGGCCTGCTTTCACACTATAGGGATTCTATGAAAGATTGGATACACAGAGATTGTTTTCACTGGAGTTCAGAAAAGCAAGCAGTGATTTGATTGAACTATATTAGATCCTGAATGGTCTTGACAAGGTGAACATAGACAGGATATCTCTTCTTGTAAGTCTAGAACTTGGGGGCACTCTTTTAAAATTGGTGTCACCCTTTTAGAACAGAGATGAGAGAAAACATTTCTGTTAGAGGTTTTTGGACTCTCTGTTTCAGAGGCAGTGGAAGTGGGATCATTAAATTTTTTAAGGTGGAGGTATCTAAATGCTTGTTAGAGCAAGAGAACTGAAGGTTAGTGAGGGTAAACGGGAATGTGGTATTCAGAAGAGAAATAGATCAGCCATGATTTTACCAGATGGAGGAACAGGCTTGAGGGACTGAATGGCCAACCATTGCGTCTGATTCATATGTTAGTAATTGTTGCAATATATTTGCTCAGTCTCACTCCACATGACGTCCCACATACCATAGAGCAGAGTTAGACACACAAGACATGTTCTGTCAAACTTTAGCCTAAATTATTTATTGTATTTAGATATTATTTTTAGTTGTAATTTTGAAAAATGTATTTGGCACATGACTTTCACATGACAACAATGAACAGAATTTTTAAACATTTATTGTGTCAAGATTCCACAACAAGTGCTGGAGGTAAAATCCTTCTGCTCTGCACTGAATCGCTGTCTACACCAAATCCCTGAATTTAGCATGGTCTTTACACTGCACTCTTTTCATCACACTCACTGTTGAAGTTGAAATCCAAACCTCAACAAATAGATATCAAACCCAAGCTATACCAGCCCACCCAAAATCTACTCTCCAACCCATGCCACCTTATAGCAGACCTTCTGCCCACAACCGTGGCCTTCGCAACCTAATCCAACTGACTACTCTCCCATCTTGGCGGTTTCCTCTCCTATTCCAACTGACTTACCTGCATCCTGGGCACCCAGCCCTTTGGGAGTGGGTGTAGTTCCAGTTTACAGCTATTGTTCCCTCAGGCACTGCTGGGACCTAAGAGCTGTTGACCATCAGATTGACCAGTAACAGTCTGAAGGAATCTTCCTCCCCACATAGCAGCAAAAGGTCGATCTCCAGTAGATTAATGCTTACAGAGTGTTAATGATTGTGAAGCGACTGTCAGGATTGGCAGGGTGCATTGTCTGATGACTTTTCAGTGGTGGGCAAAAATGCCAACCATCTGGAAACTTCTTGTCATGTGGAGCACTGAGATAGGATTGTAACCACCACTCCTATTAAACAGACAAGTGTTTTCCATCTGTGATGCACTTTAAAGGGGAGGATGTATTAAGTTTGGAATGCAGTTGAAGTCTGTCAATTGAGAAACTGTCCATAAAATTAATGACTTCATTTATCATTCTATTAAACACAACGTCTCCCTACTGATCTTGAAACTGTGGTGATTTTGTGACTGAGAGTTATTATTCTGAGAAAACAGTTTACAGCAATAGGAAGGTTTAGAACAAATTTGGATAGTGTCAAAAACGTGCAGTGTGAGATACTAAATTAGTTTTTGAGGTTTATCGATGTGTTTATGTGCCATACACTTAACAGAACAAATTTCAAAATTATTAAACCCAATTTAGCAGACTGATGCTTGAGCAGGTAAGAATGTTAGAAAGGGAGAAATTTTAACTGGCTAAAATGGTGAGTTTCATAAAGAAATGCAAGTTTGCTGTAACCCAGCACCAAAAGTAAGTAAACAAGGTGTACAGCTGGATGAACACAGCAGGCCAAGCAGCATCAGAGGAGCAGGAATGCTGATGTTTCGGGCCTAGACCCCTCTGAAAAAGGGTCTAGGACCGAAACATCAGCTTTCCTGCTCCTCTGATGCTGCGTGGCCTGCTGTGTTCATCCAGCTCTACACCTTGTTATCTCAGATTCTCTAGCATCTGCAGTTCCTACTATCACCAAAAGTGAGTAGTTGTGATAAGATAATGACATAAGGTATGTATATATCACCATCATTGCTGCACTAATGTTGACAGAAGAAGCACAGGTAGATTATGGCACTCAACACAAAATGAAGAGGATTTAATTTAATCCTATCTACTCCCAAGTGAATATTTTCAATCAAAATTGTACTCCTGAAGTTCACAAATGTTAACTGCAGGCTACAAAAATGGGAATCTCACCACGGAACTCCCACAATTATCATAATACATCTGATCCCATGAATATTGGGGAGGAGGTCACCACTGAGCCAAATTGGGCCACAAAGTCTCGAGATATGTTTGTGCTGGGCTTCTACCAAAATAGAAAATTGAACTTGAGCCTCAAATTCACTTGCTGCATTGCATTCCATGCTCCAACAAGCAACTTTATAAAACCTCAATCCAATGATACTTTTGGGTTTACATCTTGCAGTTACAGATTCATAAACCAGTGGAAACCATCTTTAACTATTTACTCTCTCAAGGTGTTTCCTAATTTTGACAGCTGCTACTACAGCTATTATTTTATGTTGCAGTCAGGATAGCCTCTATGTGCGAGCTTTTCTTCACAACTGTGATCCTTCATTTTTAAGGTGAATCTTCATCAAAGCTCTTCCATGACTAACGTCTTTCCACTAATAACAATAGTATAATGGTGGTGTAATGTATTTATGAATTGAATATAATGTCCTTGCTTTTGTATTCAATGCAACTATCAAAGAACTGTAGGTCCAATGAGGGCTCAGGGCCTTTTGATGACCCTTTCAATTAGTATCCTTACATTTAAAAGTCTTAGAGATAATTTTGATTCTGTACAATCATGTACAATATGTGTTAGTGAATTAGGAGCTCATAATTCACCTCTTCTGGTTTATCATTCCATTTCATGCAATAGATTCAGAATGGGATGTATAGCCACTTCTGTGTTACATGTGTCACAATTCTAGGATTAAAGGGCTATTCACTCTTGATGCTGAATCAGAGCCACTGTATACCTTCAGTTTTTCAATAACGTTTTAATCTAAATTTTACAGACATGATTGCTCGAAGAACAAAATGTGGCAAATCCACAGGTGAGGGAAAAGTTGGAAGTGGAAGGGAAACTTTGCGTTTAAGATCAAAAGGCGCTGCAACAGTGGAAGAAGTTGTAAGTAACACTATTGATTTGATACGACAGCTGGGAGCTTTCTCCACAGAACATTTGCATTTATACAGTGCTTTTAACATGTTAAATGTTTCAAGGCAGTTTAAAGGAGAGATAAATCAAATAACATTAATGCTCATTAATAATAATCATCAAATTTACATTAAACCACATAAGGCAATGATATGACCGGAGGCCTTGGCCAAAAGATTAGGTTTTAATGAGTGTCTTAATGAAAGAGAGAGAAAGGTTTAGGGAGAGATTCAAGAGCTTATAAACCAGGCAGTTCAAAGAAGGAAAAAACTGTAAAACTTTCAAATGACATATACTGGTTGATCCATCTTGTATACTTCAAAATGAAGGTTGAGTATGACCACTGCATTCATTTGTGAATATTACCGGCTTATTTTTACTGGATTTTCCCTCTGGGGAGAAATGATGTACAAAAGGACAGAATTGGTGGAACACAGATAAAGTGGGAGTTGAAAATGAGAATGTGTATTTTAAACTAAAAGCATTACCTGTCTGCAAGCCATTGTAGATCAATGGACATATGACAAACAGGACTTGAAGCAAGTTAGGAAATACTCAGCAGTGCTTTGGATGAGCTGAAATTTAAAAAGGATGCAAGGTGGGAGGCAGGCCAGTTGAGGATGTGAAAATTCAAGTCCAGAGAGGTACTAAAGCACAGATAAAGGTCTGAGCAGCGGGTGAACCAAGGCAGGGGTAGAGTCGACAATGTTATTAACGTAAAAGTAGGCAAATGTGGTAATGCAGAGGATAGGCAGTCAAAAATCACTGCAGGTATGTTTAGAATACTTATGTTGTGAATAGTTGTGTTCAGCCTCACACCACGGCTGAGGCAAGGAGAGAGTCAGATGAAAAAGAATGGTGTTCATGGCAGGATCAATAGGCCTTCCCAATATTTAGTTGGAAGAAATGTCTAGCCATCCAATTCTAGATGTCAGACAAACAGTACATCAAATAAAGAACAGGAGAGAAACTTAGGGAGGTGGTGGTACAGCAGAGCTGGGAGTCTTTGGCATAATTGTGAAGTGTGGGATTACATTTCAGGACAATGTCACCAAGGCCCATATGTAGAGGAGAAACGGAAGGAATCTAAGGATTAATCATTGAGGAACTGCCAAAGTGCAGGATTGGGAAAATAAACCATTTGCAGTTACTTCTCTAGTTAGGACTGGACAGGTAGGATGGAATTAGGTGAGGGGTTCAAATCAATGGGCAAATAAGCACAATTTTTAGAGCTAAAAGCTGCATAAATGTTTAAACCTATTTTCATTTTAGATTTTGAGATGAATAAACCAGGAGGAAGTAAACTCCTATCCTCACATAACATTCTAGGACAATCTTTCTGCAATTTCTTTTCAACAGTGAAAAGTAAATGTTCTAATCCAGCCCTGACAGTAAGTATATAAAAGCTGTGGGCTTTTCATGAGTGTGAATCAGCAAAGATCAACATTGTTAGACCTCCAAAAATAAGTTTTTACTTGGTTTAAGAAAACAAGTTGTTGACCTGAATTGAACCTGCTGACATAAAGTTGCCAAAAAAGGGATGGAAAATAACCTGTCATCATCCTTTAAAGGATTGCAGATCTGAATGACCGATGTGGTATTTAATGTGAAATAATTGCTTGCAAAGACTTTTTATTTGAGCTTGTACCTTTCTAAGGATCAAATGCATTGGATCAGAAATGAACAAATTTGTGAATCCGATGGAGTGGCTCAGCATGGAAGCATCAAACTTAATAGTTTCATATTCATATGCTCACTATTTTAATGGTGATATTCACATCTTCAAAGAGTCGGCAATTTCAGACAATTAAAGTGGTCTGTTAAAAGTGAGGAGTAAAAGAGTAAAAGTAAAAGTGTTCAGCAAACACCTGTGGAGTCTTAAAAGCCATTTCCACTCTCAATAGTCTTTAGTAAATTTAAAGGCATAGGGAATTAAGAAGTAGCAGCAACAATGCAGTCCTAGGCACGCATCTGTGGATAAGTAATTATTGAATCCCTACAGTGTGGATACAGGCCATCTGGTTCAAGGAGTCAATACCAAATCTCTGAATAGCATCCCACCCCATCGCTAAGTCACCTAACTTACACATCCCTGGACACCAAGGGGCAATTTAGCATGGGCCAACCCACATACCCTGCACATCCTTGGACTGTGGGAGGAAATCTACACAGCCACGGGGAGAATGTGCAAACTCCACGCAGACAGTCGCCCAAGGCTGGAATCAAACCCAGGTCCCTGGCAATGTAAGGCAGTAGTGCTAACCACTGAACTACCATGCCACCCAATGGCTGTACCCTTTTCCTCAGTTGTCACACTGATACTACATTTGCTTCTTGCAGGCTGGGTTATCCTTTGCACCTAGCCACAGTACTATCCCCTTGGGGAGCACTGAATATCTATGATGTCACCAGGTTTCAGGCCACAAATAACTTTTACTGCCTCTTTCCAATATTGCATATTAGTTGCAACCACCACTACAGCAGGGAGTGCAGTTTAACACTTGCCTCTCCATTGACACAGACTGCTAGAGGACACTGTCCAACGGTTATTCGGTTTGTCAGGTAAATGGATGATGATGTTTTGGCAGGGGCAGCCAAATCAGCAATGTTGAACAAAGGAAAGAAAATTACAGCACAGGAACAGGCCCTTCGGCCCTCCAAGCCTGCGCCGATCCAAATCCTCTATCTAAACCTGTTGCCTATTTTCCAAGGATCTGTATCCCTCTGCTCCCTGCCCATTCATGTATCTGTCTAGATACATCTTAAATGAAGCTATCGTGCCCGCCTCTACCACCTCCGCTGGCAACGCGTTCCAGACACCCACCACCCTCTGCGTAAAGAACTTTCCACGCATATCTCCCTTAAACTTTTCCCCTCTCACCTTGAAATCGTGACCCCTAGTAATGACTTCTAGTAATGACTTCTGATCACTCATGCATGATTTCCTCCATCCAATCTCGTGTAAAGCAAGGATGTTAGGATTTCATATTAAAGTGATGACAGGCTCTTCTGACACAATCCTCCATGGGAAGTCCACCCATGAACACAATATCTGAGGGTCTTCACTTCCCATTGCGCCCACTGAGGAGCAGATACCAGTTGGAAGACATTGAACACCCCTCAAATTGCTTGGTATCACTGATATCCTCCTTCAGTTTCCTCTCACCTTCCAAACATATCAACTTGGATATTGGCAAATCATAATTGCTACAGACAAACAAAAGTCTAAGTACCAGCATTTTTTAAAAAAATGCAGGACTTTATAAGAAGAGTAAAATAGATGGAAAAATTGTTAGCCTTTTAAAAGTGTTCTTGCATGAATCCTGCCCCAGGTCATTAATGCCAAGGTTTGATAGGCATGCTGGTCCTTTACCTGAAATTTCCACAGGGTCCTCTCAGTCTGAGTATGACTTTGAACAGAGTGCTGTGAGTTTGGTGAGTAAGAGAAATCTTAATCTTTTGCTAAAAATGTACTATTGTTTGTACATTACATTTAAAAAAACATTTAACTGAAATCTACTATTTAAATCATAAATTTCATCCAGGCTCAATCAGGGATATATTCGCTTTCCAATGAAGAGCAGTTAAGTTGGTTAATCAAGGAAACTAACTTGAGCTTTATTTTCTGTAACTGTGGCTAAATTGAGTCAGAGAATATTTAAAAACAAAAATATCGAGTTCAATAATTTTAGGGCCTGAACTCTCCCATGTCCTAGCCCCCTACCCCACACACGAGGCTTTGTTATCACATAGCCTACCATTACACACTGCCTATTTTTAGTCACTAACAGTCCCCATTAACAGCTATTCACCCTCCTAGCCAGATCGTTACCAACTCCTTTGCCCAACTGTATTTCTCTCCCTTTGGGCTCTATCCCTACCTATTGTTTACTCCTTACCCACCCCCCCCCCACCCCCCCACACCCCACCTTTAAACCAACATTTTCCTGGCTACCATCAGTTCTGAGGAAGGGTCACTGGACCTGAAACGTTAACTCTGATTTTTCTTCACAGATGCTGCCAGACCTGCTGAGCTTTTCCAGCAACTTCTGTTTTTTTTTTCCTGATTTACAACATCTGCAGTTCTTTTGGTTTTTTCTTTCAGAGTATATAAATACTGCCATCTCAGTGTGATTTAGCACAGAGTGTGGTTTTGTACAGAGTAGAAGTAAGTCACAGTAACCTTACTAGACCATAGGGAGAGACAACTGGTGCTGGTTTAACCTTAAGGTCTCTACACCTCAGGTTGGGGGAGAGGTTGAGAAAGAGATTCCTCCTTGGTAACATTAGCCATATGGGAATTGAATCCACACTGTTGATATCACCCTGCGTCTCAAACCGGACATCCAGCCAACTGAGCTAACCAACCTCCCCCTTTTGCACAGAGTGCTGGGCATTTGGTGAGTAAGGGAGTTCTATATCCTATTTTTTGGTTGGCACAAGGTAATGAGTGATGAGGATCAGTGCTGGGCCTCAACTGTTTACAGTTATGTAAATGACTTCAATGGAGGGACCAAAAATACGTTTGTTAAATTTACTGATGACACAAAGAAAGGCAGGGCAGTAAGTTGTGAAAATAAAGCAAGTGGCAAAGGGATGTAGTTAGAACAAGTAAGTGAAAAACTATCTAGCAGATGCAGAAAAATACGACATTGTCCATTTTGGCAGTTAAGGTAAAAAAGTCATGTTATCTAAATTGAGAGAGGTTGCAGAGCTCTGAGATGCAAACGTACATAAGGAAGCAGGTCAAAGTTGTCATTGATAAATGACTGTTTATGAGAAATAACAGAAAAATTCGATCCCATGACATTAAAGCCAAATTTTCATCTCCAAGTGGAGGTATGAATCAAGTCACAAACAGTGAACATTGTTTTCATTGCTGGAAAGACACTCTTTCTCTGCCATTCAGACATCACAAAATATTTGTGGCCTATTCACACATAGCACACAGGGGAATATCTATGGATGTTGTTTACGTGAACTTCCAGAAGGCCTTTGATAAAGTCCCTAATAAGGGACTGTTAACCAAGGTAGAAGCATGTGGAGTTGAAGGCAATTAATGACATTGCTGGGACATTGGTTGACTGGCAGGTGACAGAAAGTAGAGGTAATGAGTAGGTACTCAAATTGACAGGATGTGACCAGTGATGTCCTACATGGATAGTAGGAACTGCAGATGCTGGAGAATCCGAGACAACAAGGTGCAGGGCTGGATGAACACAGCAGGCCAAGCAGCATCATAGGAGCAGAGAGGCTGACGTTTCGGGTCTAGGCCCGAAATGTCCTACATGGACGTGTGTTATGGCCTCATTTGTTTACATTATTTATTAATGACTTGGATGATGACACAAAGTTAGACAGCAATGTACACAGCGTAGATGATAGCATAAAAATTCAAAGGGATATTGATAGACTAAGTGAATGGCAGATATAACTATGGCAGATGGAATCTAATGTAAGCAAGTGTGAGATTACCCAGGTTGGATAGAAGGATAGATCAGGGTACTTTCTAGATGTTATGACGTTAACTTCAGTGGATGTCCAAAGAGATTTGGGAGTTCGGTACATAGATCTTTAACATGTCATGATGAGGTGCAGAAAATAATCAAAAAGGTTAATGGAATGCTGGCCTTTCTATCTAGAGAACTGGATCATTTACAAGAATGATACCTGAACTTCAGAGGTTACATTATGAGGAGAGATTACACAGTTTAGGCCCATTTTCTGTATGAATTTAGAACATTAAGGGGTGATCTTATCAAAGTTTGCAAGAGATTAACAAGAAAAGACAGGGTAGATAAAGATAAACTATTTCCATTGATTGGGATTTTAGATCTAGGAGGCAGGGTCTGAGAATTAAGGCCAGACCTTTCAGGAGAGATGTTAGGAAGCACAAAGGGTGGTAGGTATTTGGGATTCTCTTCCACAAATGACAGCTGATGCTAGATCAGTTGTTAATTTTAAACCTGAGATAGAAAAATTTTTGTTAAGTAAATTTAAGGTATTAAGGGATTATGGAGTTAGGTCACAGATTAGCCACAATCTCACCGAATGGTGGAACAGGTTTGAGGGGCTGAATGGTCTACTCCATTCCTATGTTAAAGGCCTTTGGTGGTAAAATGTGTATGCACGTCTCCTGAGATCAGAGTTCATTGTGAGGGAAATTGAGGAAAACAGAAGACAAGCATAAAATGTTTCGACACCTTCAAATGTCACCATTGGATGTTGTTTGTAATCCATCTCCATTTTTAATGAAGCGATTTGACCTGCAAATGATAAATTGACTCTTACATTGACCACCATTGGTAGATTGTTATACTTTTCAATACTATTTTCCATTTAAAAAGTATCCTAAAACAGTCAAAAATGTTTTTTAAAAAGATCTCCTTAGCTTCTGTTTTCATGTTTTATGCTGTAATTTAATACAGCCCATGGTGTTAAAATGTAAGCAATTGCTTTTGAAATCTTGAAAAATATCACCACACCTCTTCCCCTCCATTGCTTGACAGAAACTTTGCTTTTAAATGGAAATGAGACATCTAATGCTCTTATAGTTTCAGACAATTTAGCATGAAGCTTCTGTTATGACATTGTATAGCCTACGTGTGCTTGATTTGGGCTTCAATACCAGTAAATATCTTCAGCTCAGCATGTGGTCTATTAGTTCAGCAATGATAGACACTTTAAACAAGGTGGAATAACAGAATATGCTTTTATTTTGATTGCTTGTTTACAAACCTAATTGAAATTGCAATTTATCACATTAGAATAGCTTTGTTTCTTTCAATTATCAATGTTGGAATCTGGACACTGCCTTCTAAACTGCTTGCCCAAAGTCCTTGCATGCTCCATTGTGAATTCAACACTTTTATGAATAGACAAAGATCCCGAGAAAAGCCATACACTCTGGTACACATTTCGGAAGGTGCAAAACTGAGCAGCATATAAATTCCTGAACTGTTGTGGTTTTAAAGGGAATCTATACACATTTTTTGATTTTGAAAGGGATCAAAATTTCTATTTCTTTAGCCAACAGAGTTTGAAGAACGAGCAACTAAAAAGGTGGATGATTTGTTGGAAAACTACATGGGTATCAGAGATACAGAATTAGGTAAGTCTTCTACTATATACTTTACTGGCTACTTAAAAACATGGGCTCCCACTTAGAAAAGGCTTACTTAAAGATTGAAAGAAGGTAATGTTTGCAAACATTGAACTGGATTGCAATATTTCCTCTCTATTCACATTCCCAGTATGCTGACGGGATAAAGATTTCTTTGCTGATAAATAACTCAAAAGCAATCAAAATTGTTATTCAAACCCAATCATAACAAAAATCTAACTATAATTGGATATCGTTCTCAACATGACAGAATTGAGTCTATTTGCCAAGCACAATCATCTCACCGGCAAATATGTAATACAGCAAACTTGTTTTAACCAGCACCTTATCAACTAGGACTCTTGATAAACTGACGAAAATGATATGCCTCAAATACTACAATGGAAGGTGATGTCTGAGTGTTTATGCTGTAAGTAAAGTATAATGATGAGCTGTATACCCTACATTGTGTCTCTATTACTTACTGTATTTTTACATTGATATTTAGGAGGTGTGTTGATGTTTTTATGTAGACTTTTTTGAGGGACCCGACACACTCCTGGTCCCATAGGTGCCAGCTAGTAAAATGTTTGCTGTAGTGCATTCCACTAGTGTAGTTGTATAAATGTACTTGCAATCCCCATAAAAAATGATAATCGTGAAAAGGGAATTTGAACTTCACGTAACGACGCAAAGGATCACAGAAGATCTCAAGATTTTAGACTTTTACTGTAGCAAACAAAAACTAACATTGACTAAACAATGAGAGATAGTAAGAACTGCTGATGCTGAAGTCTGAGATAAGACAGTGTGGAGCTGGATGAACACA